GCTGAACCTTTTTTACACAGGAGAGGGAGTTCAGGTGCATCACTGTCCTCAGCATTGGGTACCATTAGGCATGGTGCCACTACATACAGAAGAGCACTGAAGTGCTTTTAAAAAGGCACATGCTTCATTCCCAAGTGTCTACTTTAAGCGCTCTTAGTGACTCTGGCAAAACAAACACCACCTTTTTAGGTGTGGCAACTGTCAAGTCAGTTCTTAATGTATAAATTGGCCCCAAGGGCCAAATCTAATACAGCAAGTAGTTTATGTAAGGCTGAAAATAGGTATTTCTCAGATAGTCAGACAGCTCTATAGCTAGTTTTAAAAAAAATACTTTCATGCAATACAGTAGTTGTGGTTTTATGTGCACCAAAGTTAGAAGATGAGTTTATGAATCCCAGAGCTGTTTTAACTGACCCACATTGAATACATACAGAATTTTATCTGATCTTAACTCTCTAGTACATTAGTATACATTGTGCAATGTGACTGAGCTACAGTTTCCGGGGGAGCCATAACTTTGAATTTACCATAGATCATATATTCAAAAATCACCCATTTAATTCACATTTTTTGCTTCAGAGCACTCAGTGTGGTTTGAACTGTGGAACAAACTCCCACAGGAACTACGGACCGCTGCAAACCTTATCACCTTCCCCTCAAACTGCAACATGGTTTTTTTTGTTCTGCTGTCTTAAACATAAATACATACAAGCTTGTATGAGTTTAAAACAACTCTGCTCCCCCCAAGGTAAAACAGCTTACCTCACACAACATTCCCCATGTCAGAGGGTGAGAAACAAAGAGGGAATAAACCATAGGTGGCAGCTGTTAGTTACATTGCTTAATTCATTACTGATCAGCAGGGTAAGAACCTGTATAAACTAGAACAGAACGTTTGATGTGACTATTTGCTGTAATAATCTCACACTAAATTAAATGTGATTAGAATGATTTGGGAAGAGGGATGGTTGCCCAAACAAGACCATGTTCCTGGGAATTACACAGAGTAGCAAATGCAGCAGAACGTTTTCTCCTACTAATAAATTTACTGTGTGTAGCTTACGCCCTGTCATAAGATCCAGTGTTTCAGACCTGCATGCTTACAGCATATCTTGTTATTTTAAGAGTTCATTCAGTGCTTGTCCCTGAAAAGATTCACTGAGTGGTTTTAATATTTTTTAAGATTTTTCTTCATAGTAGACTAAAGCATAAAAAAGAAGTGAAAATATTTTAGTTGGTAAGGACCATTGCCTTTTCACGCATGTCTGAAATGACCAGTGGAATTTAATCTGACAGATAGGAAAGGAAAGGGAAAGGGAGCAAATGAGAGCAAGCATAAGAAAATTTAGCCCAAGGATAACTTTCCTTTTAGTATAAGCTGTAAGTGCAGCAAAACAGAGGCTTAAAAAGAAAGCACTGGATCAAGCCTAACCATAGCACTAAGTGCCTGACTCTGGAATCAGCACGATCCTTCGAGAGCTAAGTGCCTTCAGCTTTTTAAATGAGCTTTCAGCCAATATATTTATATTGTGTATGGAGTAAAAGTGACACATCTTCTTTCCAAAAATTCTTTTTCAGAACTATAAACGACACATGGATGGCATGTATGGGCCTCCAGCCAAACGCCATGAAGGGGATATGTATAACATGCAGTATGGCAACCAGCAACAGGAAATGTATAACCAGTACAGCAATGCTTACACGGGGCCTGACAGAAGGCCCATGCAGGGACAGTATCCGTATCCGTATAACAGGGAGAGGATGCAGGGCCCAGGACAAATGCAGCAGCATGGAATTCCTCCCCAGATGATTGGTGGCCCCATGCAGTCATCATCCTCCAGTGAAGGTCCTCAACAGAACATGTGGCCAACACGAAATGATATGCCTTACCCTTACCAGAATAGGCAAGGTCCAGGAGGCCCTGCACAGGCCCCACCGTATCCAGGGATGAATCGCACTGATGATATGATGGTACCTGACCAGAGGATAAACCACGAGAGTCAGTGGCCTTCTCATGTCAACCAACGTCAGCCTTCTTATATGTCATCCTCAGCCTCCATGCAGCCTATCACTAGACCTCCTCAGTCATCCTACCAGACGCCACCCTCTATGCCAAACCACATCTCTAGAGCTCCAAGTCCAGCATCCTTCCAGCGCTCTTTGGAAAACCGTATGTCTCCAAGCAAGTCTCCTTTCCTACCCTCGATGAAGATGCAAAAGGTTATACCCACAGTTCCAGTGTCACAGGTCACAGGACCTCCACCCCAACCACCACCGATTAGGCGAGAAATTACCTTCCCCCCAGGCTCTGTAGAAGCATCCCAACCAGTCTTAAAACCAAGACGAAAGATTACCTCAAAAGATATTGGTAAGCATCAAAACAAAAGCCAAATACCAAAATAGGTTGGTAGAAAGGACTTTGATTTTTATTTTCTTTTACAGTTTAAGACTATTTTGACAAATAGTTAACTTTGATAACTATAATGTGAGTGTCTTCTTTGATAAAAATGTAATAGCATATGCATCAGTGAGCATGATAGGTAAAACTCATCCCAGACAATCTGACATGAAATGAAAGTAATATTTTATATGGAGACCTGAGGTCTCCAGAAATGCATTAAAAACAAAGCTTGCCTCAGATTTCCAAATGATATGCGTTGAAAGGTCCTTCAGAATGTCTGTTAAATCACCAATACAACATTTAGCTGACCAAAGCCTTCTGTGTTCTTGTTCCACTTAAGCTGGAACATCTGCTGTGTAGTTAGTCTCTGCTTCCTTCAGATGGCCCATTTATTAATTCCATATTATTTGTCATGTTTCTTTCTCCCCCTGTTCTTTCCCAAGTACGTTCTTATCTGAAATTCCTGTAACATTTCATACATTCAAGTTCTCATACTTGAAGTTCCCACACTCCTGACAAAGTATTCTACCTTTATTTACTGATTATTTGGTTTATTCAACTTCCCTAAGTTTGTATGATTATTTCGGCTTTAGCAAAGATGGGAAGAATGGCCCTGTTAAACTACTCTCCAGTATTAAGGCTGAGCAGCCGTTACAGAAAAACTGAACAGGACTAAGTGGTGAAAGCAGAGTCTTAACCAGTATTTCAGTAACTATTTCATTTAAATTCTGCATCAGAATGTCACAGTTTAATCGTTCAGAACTCATTAACGGTCTCCGAGGATGCACTAATACTGTTTTACTTCTCCTCCTTTCTTTTTCCAGTAACTCCTGAGGCCTGGAGAGTGATGATGTCTCTTAAATCTGGTCTTTTGGCTGAAAGTACCTGGGCGCTAGACACTATTAATATTCTTCTGTATGATGACAGCACTGTTGCTACTTTCAACCTCTCTCAGGTAGGTCGGAAAGCAGTATACTTCTCAAATTTCCAAGGAAAAAAACCTGAAATAAGATACCTTCAAAAATGCTTAAGTCCTTTAAAATTAATGTAATTAGCATAAATTTGAATATTGTAAAACTTCCCTTTTTTATGATTGGTAACAGTGGGCAACAAGAGATAGCTTTAGCTCGAATAGGGGAAATAATAAGCCTGAAAGGAGGATATCTCTTGTAGAAAGGAGCATGTAGGAATCTAAGAATTTTAGCATTGACAGAAGACGAATGTGTAAATTCACACTCATGATAGTACAAGGACAATCCCAGAAAACAGCAATACGTTAGTAATCATCTTGCTTAAGTTGTGTTTCTATAAAAGGCTTTGCAAAACTATATTAAATCGATTTGAGGCTGTCTTTTGGTGACTACTTGTCTTATTCAGTAGTTCCATACTAGGCTGTGGGACTTTTTAATTGCTTATTTTCTGTTTGGTTTCTTCTGCCAGTAAATTAAGTTTGCACAGAAATATCAGATTGACAATTTAAAGGCTAAAATCCACTGTCTGTCCACAGGATGCAAGTAACACAGGATTTAACAGTGTGTGCTTTTGCCTCACTACCTCCCAGCATTTTTGAGCCCTTCTCTGACCATTGGCCTGTTAGGTGGTAGTAATAGATTGCATGCTGATAATGCACATCATCTAAAATTTGTACAAATTAAATATTCAGGTTTTTTGCTCCTTTCATTCCTTGGTTACTAATAGTGCAACTTATCATTTTTTAAATATAATGACCTTTTTTTAAAATACAGACACAAATGGTACATTTCATCCCACCTAACTTTAGAACTAGGGATATCTATAGCATGATTCATCTCATCCTGAAGCAGAGATCTAAAATAGGTCAGATGAATCATACCCTAGAAATGGCCTGTAAAAGACCATTGATTATAAAAGGAATCTAGACAGTTAGGTTAGGTGTGTAACTGTTGTGGGTGTTTGAAGTTAAGTAAGGTGAATCTCCTCTGAATTCTATTAGAAATTGCATTAATGCACCCTGTGTGAGTTGCACAGAACACCAGGCATATTTTAAATGCATATTTTTTGGTGACTTTTGCCTTGGACTCTATTCCCAGTGGCAGTCAAGACTCCGTATGATGACTGGTAATTCCTGCAGTTCATAAGCATCAGTTTGTTCCTAATTCTTTGAGGGCTTGTTCAATCGTAAGAGAATATAGAATGGACAAAAGATACATTTTGCTGAAAACCTATTAGCCCACGATTAAAAAAAATATGAAAAGCCAGACAATCAAGCTGAATACATCATAACAGCAAAGAATTTTAATAATAAAGCCACTGAGGGTAAATTAATACCAAGTCCAACTACTGCCTTTCCATAAAAAAGTGATTACAAGTTAATTAAGAGGATTAAACCTAAATGAAAACTGTTTCTGAAGGGTGACTTACAGCACCAGGCTCCAAAAACAATTTTTAAATATTGCCAGGCAAAAATGGAACTATTCCAATAGAGATGGGATATTAGCCTAGGATGTCAGTACCTAGACCCTGAACTGCAGATTCCTATAGGACAGTTGGTCTTAGAGACTGACAAAGGAGGAGAGGAAGAATTGTAAACTTTAGCCATCTAATAAAAGTACAAATCAGAAAAACTGAGAAACTTACTGAAGTACTCTGTACAGAAAATGAAGAAAACCTAGACACTTGCAAGGGGGCAGAACAGCTAGGCTAGATGTCCGCTGCAGCTTAAAGGAGACATATGAATGAAGTTCTGTATTTCTCATAGCTGCCACAGTTTAAGCAACTGGGGCTGTGATAGTTTGACATTACATACTGTTTGGACAGATGCTAGAAGAATTTCCTTTGATTAACTTCTGCCATGCAGGACCTAGCCACAAGTCCACAGCAGAAGGAGGGAAATATTCACAGATGTGTGCATCAGTGTTCCTAATAAAATTCCATGCAGAAAAAAATATTTATCTGTTTTTTTTTTTGTTTTTTTTTTTTTTGTGTTCTTTCTTCTCCCCTCAGTTGTCTGGATTTCTTGAGCTTTTAGTAGAATATTTTAGAAAATGCCTGATTGACATTTTTGGAATCCTTATGGAATATGAAGTGGGAGATCCAGGCCACAAAGCACTTGATCACAAAGCAGCCAAGAAAGATGATAGCCAGTCCTTGGCAGAGGATACTGGAAAAGAGGAGAACGACGAATGTATTGATTATTTTGATGAAGATGAGGAGGAGGGGGAGGATGAAAAGGTAGAAGGAGAAGAAAAGAGCATTGTTTTTTCCACTCCTGGTGCCATTGCTGATCCAAGTGAGAGGCCAAAACAAGCCAGTAAATTTGACAAGCTGCCAATAAAGATTGTAAAGAAAAATAATCTGTTTGTTGTTGACCGATCTGACAAACTTGGACGCGTTCAGGAATTTGATAGTGGACTTCTCCACTGGCAGCTTGGTGGTGGTGACACTACTGAGCATATCCAGACTCACTTTGAAAGCAAGATGGAGATTCCTCCGCGCAGGAAAGCCCCTCCTCCCTTGAACTCTCCAAGCAAAAAGAAGGACCTGGAGGGGAAAGGCGAATCTGAGGAACAACAAGAAAAAAGTATAACAGCAACCATTGATGATGTCCTCTCAGCTCGGCCAGGAGCATTGCCTGAAGACTCAAACTCTGGTTCCCAAACAGAGAGCAGTAAATTTCCCTTTGGGATCCATCAAGCCAAAAGCCACCGGAATATTAAACTGCTAGAGGATGAGCCAAGGAGCCGGGATGAGACTCCTCTATGCACCATAACTCACTGGCAAGACTCCTTGGCCAAACGCTGCATCTGTGTGTCAAATATCGTCCGTAGCTTGTCTTTTGTGCCTGGCAATGACACCGAAATGTCCAAACATCCAGGCTTGGTGCTGATCCTGGGAAAGTTGATCCTTCTTCACCATGAGCATCCAGAAAGAAAGCGAGCGCCACAGACTTACGAGAAGGAGGAAGAGGAGGACAAAGGGGTGGCCTGCAGCAAGGATGAGTGGTGGTGGGACTGCCTCGAGGTCTTGAGGGATAATACATTGGTCACATTAGCCAACATTTCTGGGCAGCTAGACTTGTCTGCTTACACGGAAAGCATCTGTTTGCCAATTTTGGATGGCTTGCTGCACTGGATGGTGTGCCCGTCTGCAGAGGCACAGGATCCTTTTCCAACCGTGGGGCCCAACTCAGTTCTTTCGCCTCAGAGACTTGTGCTGGAGACCCTGTGTAAGCTCAGTATCCAGGACAATAATGTGGACCTTATCTTGGCCACCCCCCCATTCAGTCGTCAGGAGAAGCTCTACGCTACTTTAGTTAGGTACGTTGGGGACCGCAAAAACCCAGTCTGCCGAGAAATGTCCATGGCGCTCTTATCGAACCTTGCCCAGGGGGACACATTAGCAGCAAGGGCAATAGCTGTGCAGAAGGGAAGCATCGGAAACTTGATAAGCTTCCTGGAGGATGGGGTCACTATGGCCCAGTACCAGCAGAGCCAGCATAACCTCATGCACATGCAGCCTCCACCTCTGGAGCCACCTAGCGTAGACATGATGTGCAGGGCAGCCAAGGCCTTGCTGGCCATGGCTAGAGTGGACGAGAACCGCTCAGAGTTCCTTTTGCACGAGGGTCGTTTGCTGGATATCTCAATATCTGCTGTCCTGAACTCTCTGGTTGCATCTGTCATCTGTGATGTACTTTTTCAGATTGGGCAGTTATGACATAAGTGAGAAGCCAAGCATGTGTGAGTGGAGATTAGAGGGTCACATATAACTGGCTGTTTTCTGTTCTTGTTTATCCAACGTAGGAAGAAGGAAAAAAAAAAAAAAAAGAATCTTTGCTCCTCTGCCCCATTCACTATTTACCAATTGGGAATTAAAGAAATTATTAATTTGAACAGTTATGAAATTAATATTTGCTGTCTATGTGTATAAGTACATCTTTTTATTTTATTTTTTTTAACCAAAGTTGCTGTCTAGTACATTCAAAGGTCACACTTTTTTTTCCATAGATTATCCTTTTCAACGTTCTTTTCCATGTTTGTATTGCATATTTTTTGGGAAGCGAACTAGTGACTTTTTAAAAAAAATGTTATGGCAAACCATTGTATGACAGAAAAAAAAAAATCTCACCACTTTGAAACAAAAAGGTGAAAAATAACCAACATACCAAGTTCCTGTGTGTTTTATTTTTTCAAATAAGGAAAAAATAAAAAAAAAACCTTGTATACCATCACCCAAAGCTCTGTGCAATAGAAGATTCTAGTGATGTAGGTGTAGGGGATCAAGGAGGGTGTCAGTCAGTAGTCAAAATACAAAACAATACTGGTTTCTCCTCAGGAGAAATGGTTACATTAGGCTAGGAGCAAAACAAAACAAAAAAGTCAAGTTAAAAGATTTTTAAACAAAACCTGATGATAAACATCAATTGCTTCCTCACCAGAACTGTCTTATCTACATGTTGGTTGTTTTTTTTTTTTTGACCTTCCACAATGACAGTTCTTCACAATTCCTTTAATCATTTTTTAAAATATTTTTTTATTGCCTAAGGGCCGTGATGTATATAGAAGTTGTACATTAAACATACCCTCATTTTTTTTTTTAGTACAAAGTTTTTAGTTTCTTTTTCATGATGTGGTATCTACAAAGTGATAGTAGAATTATTTTTTCTTTCATTTGGGCCATATCTCCAAAAAATAATAAAAAAAAAAAGGAAAAAAGAAAAAACCCAACACAGAAAACCAACAACTGAGGGTAATGTACAAGTTTCTGTATGTATAAAGTCATGCTCTATTTCGGGAGAGCAGCCGATCACAATTTGCTTTATAAATCAAGGTGTGGAAATGGTTACGTATGGATTGATTTAAGAAAATGGTTACCAGTCTACAGACAAAAAAAAAAAATATATACAGGAAAAAAAAAAGGAAGAAACACAACTGCAAAGATTTTTCAGTGACAAGAATCTGCATTTGTATTTCAAGATAATGTAGTTAAAAAAGAAAAAACTTGATGTAAATTCCTCCTTTTCCTCTGGCTTAATGAATTTCATTTATTCAGTATAAAATCTTTATATGTTCCACATGTTAAGAATAAATGTACATTAAATCTTGTTAAGCACTGTGATGGGTGTTCTTGAATAATGTTCTAGTTGCAGTGTGGGATATCGGAAAGCAAACTAATTACAAGAAAGAGCAATAATGATTATTCTCTTTCCCCTACTTTATTATTATGACCTTCAAAAATATTACACTATTGTATTGCAGCAACTTGCTCTCCTTTTAGAAAAGCCTTCTTGCATCAGAGAAGTGTTTTTAATTATTATTTCTAAAACCACGGAGCCTCAAAGGGGAAGACATGGCTGGCAAATGATAGTTCTGACTATGCAGGTATCCAGTCTCTGTGCTGTGTTTGGGGGACTGAAGATGGATGTTAGAAAAAGTGACAAAAGATTTTGTTATAGCAATAACCAACTTGAAGAAATTGATCTGTATTCACTACCTGTAATTCTCTCTGTTGGTTAAAGGTGCAAATACCCCAGTGATGTGGGTATTTAGAATAAACACCCACCCACTTCTCGATACTGTATGTGTCATTGCATACTTACATGGCCTCTCATCCTGGGAGTCCCCCATTAAAGTGGATCAGGCTTTAATAGAGCACATCCATCGTTGTAATTGGTGGGAGATGGCCATTTCAGTTTCAAGAATTATCTGGTTTCAGATACATCCACTCTCACCTGGTGATATCTTGTTGCTGAATATTGTTCAAGCACTAATTTTTGCTATTTCCTCTTGGATCATTGACTTTGTTAGTGTGATCATAAAAAACTAATAATAATCAATTTCCCTGGAATTGCCACATAATTACACTGTTAGTGGATATCCTCCTCCCCTCTCCAATAACAATACGGAGGTACTTGAAAATTACAACCCCCTTTGGCATACTGCCCATCTTGTTCATATAGATTGCTGTAACATTAATATATGTAAAAGAATTTCAGAGACAGGTAAAGTATATACAATTATAAGCCAAGTTTGAAACGTGACTCCCTAGTGTCATGAAAAGTAATTTCTCCTTCTAGCTTTTCTTATTCAGTAATCTCTCCACTCCTACATCACCTGCTGCAGTGGACTTTCTTTCTCTTGAATATCACTGCATTCAGAAATATGTGGTGAATTATAACCCACTCCTTACTCTTCATCATGGGAGGCATATTTCAGGGATGATTTTTACAGCTTAATACTGGGCACTGTGGAAGTAGTATCTGCTACCAAACTTATTTCTTACTAACATTTTACTGCTTGATATTACCCCACAGATACAAACAAGCTGTTAAAAAAAAACCCCTCTGCTGAGCAATATTCGCCCCTTTCACATCAAGGACAAGAAAGGACATCTATTCTCTCTCTTTCTCTTCAGCATTCAGACCCTGAGTCCTCTGGAGGGAACTACACCTGTAGCAAAATACTGTGAGCTGTCAGAGGCAGCACCTTAATGTTATTCAGGACTGCTCTGAGCCTGGTCAAACAACATGGTGAGGGGAAAAAAAAAAAAAAACCAGCCAGCCACATGATGTCCATATTTAACATTGCTGCCACTTTTCCAGTCAGGCCAAGAACTAGCTGGGGAACTGGAAGAGTGGAAGGAAAAGGTTAATAATACAGATTCTGCCTGAACGTGATTTTATGCTGTTAAAGTAGGAAGGAGTAAACGATCTAAATCCCTGCTTAGTGTTACAGTACATTTATCAGAAGAAAGGCAAAGCATAAGAACACCCCTTCCCTCTGTTGTGTACGTATGATTTCACCTTTCCCACAGTGTTCTCTTAAGCCTTTGGAGAAGACCTGCTCATGAGACTTGTGAACTTAGCATGTTCTGACTGAATCCTGAACAAGTTTGAGCTGCTGTTGGTATTGTTCCTACAAGAGGTATTTTGGCTTTCAGTTTTGAAAAAAAAACCCAAAAACTAACCAAAAAAAACACCCTGTATTTTTGTGCTGATGTGATCACAGATACTCTGTAGGGAAGTTCAGACTAGTACCATCAAGAAGGTGCAATATTTGAAATTCTAAAACTGCAATGAGTTATTTAGGGGAAAGAAGCCAATTAGTATTTTGGGCAATAATCAAACCAAATATTTGACACATACATATATATCTCAATAAGCTATCTGTTTCTTTGGCAGGCCCAAGCAACTAACTGCTTATAGATTGAAAGAGCAGCAATGAGATGTATGGAGTCCCTGAATCTTACCTGTAGAATCACTTCAGGAATTAAGAGATGCCTATCCCCTTTGGCAGGGAAAAATGGTTTTGTTTCTTGTTAGCATAATTTCCTACACTATCCTTTAAAAAAAAAAAAAACCAAAAACACCAACATCCTGCTCAGAAATGCCACATTTTCAACTACTCAAAAGGAAGGATGCAGAAGAAAAATTCATCCACATGCTTAAAGCCTGTGCAATTTCTCTTCCATCTTCTTTTGCTGTTTTACACCACAATCGGTAAATTCTGTGCCATACATCAGTACTATAAGACTGTTACCTTTTTCACCTGGATACATCCAAGTGAAAGATTTACTTATTTAGAGAAATATTGTAGCAAAAGCATATGCTTGTCTTCCACATTAACAATGCCTATACAACACTTACAGTGCAATACAGGGTACAAATCTTATTTTACAAATAATATGAAAACACCTCTTAGTAATGAAGAATCAAGTGTAGCTGTCATTTATGAAAAAAACCCTTCCATCAAAAAAAAAGATCCAGCCAGGGGCAGGTTCATTTCAACCAGCGTTTTAACTCATGGCATCATGCTTCACTCCCATTCTGAAGCTGCTGTTGGATGTTATTTAGTAGCAAAGAAAAAACATCCCTATCATCGCCTCCTCCTCCCCCCTGTATGAGAGGAAGAGTTGCAAATGTCCATAGTGCAGATGCCCAAGTTAACTTGAAACTGAACTGGAACATAGGAACTGAACTGAGATTGCACACAGGTAATTCACTCTTTCAAGAAGCTGTGTGTAGGTTCCTTACTCTGCAAGTAGTACTACTGGTGTACCTAAGAAATAATATGCACCTATTGTCCAAACATTATAACAACACTATCACTTCTCACAGAACTCAGTGCTTTCTGTCTTTTAAATAGGAGCACAGGCTCAAATTTTGAGATGAGTTCTCCAGAGAGGGATGATAACTTCTATTTTTACCACCATCACCTGGTAATACCAAGTATGTGGAAACCACACTCACATACAAAACCACAAAGCAGTCCAGTCCCTGCTGCAAAAAGCTTATTTTCCAAGTCATGAGCAAGTAACTGCAGGTGGAGACAGGAGAAAATAGACACAAAAGCAACTCTTCTAGCAGAGTGCAATTGCACAGATCTAGAATATGGTCCCATACAATCTGCAAATTTCATTTTCCTCAAGATAATTTGTGAAATTTCTGGGGGTTCCCCCCTTCTGTTTTCTCATTATGAAATCTTACCCTCCCCATGCCCAATTCGTTTCCCTCCATCCCTCACAAAGATTTTTTTTAAGTCTGAAGAAAGGAGAGAGAAAAGTACTGAGGAGGAAAGGGAGAAAAGACACAGCCATTTGGAGAAAGGGAGACAGAACACAAAGAGCTGAAAGAAAAGCATCTTACTTCCCTCCTGCATTGCTCTATTTTTACGTTTGGGTCATTCCAAAGAAATGACTAATTAAACCAAGCTAGGGGAATTTGGCATTTCATTGGTGGCTGCGATTTAAAAAAAAAAAAAAAGAGAGATTTTAAGAGGTAAGGGGAGCAAGGGAAGGGAAGGCAAAGGAAAAGATGAGCCTGCACATGCAGACTGGTAAATACAATTTTTACTTAATTACCTTTACCTTTCAGATCCCCAAGACAGCAGGAATGGGGAAGGATTAATATTGTCTTCCTTGTTAATTTCACCCCCAGTTGTTTATTTGTGCACTGTCAGAAAAGGGTTTTCAGAGTCTGGCCTTCCTGTGATTGTCAGTAGCTGTGGGTACAGGAGACAGCTGTTCTGGACTACATACCAAATCCAGCCATTCACATGCCTAAATGATTTGTGCTTCCAATTACTTACTCTAACAAAAGTCTACAACGTATTTCATTTCAATGCTGTTGTACAGCATAAAAAACTGTAGGTTTATACTAGACATTGTTTTTAGCTGGCCTATAATAATGAGATGAAGGAGCAAGATCCTCATCCAATGCCTTTAACAGAGCTACAACATCTTACCCTGCATTTGTTAATTTACTTGGTCTGTCATTACTTAGTATATATTGCATTTCCATTAATTAAGGACAGTTATTTACATTGAAAGGGTGATGGGGTGGAATTGCCTAGTTAGCAGAGCAAATCCCTAATGACTCAGGCATCTCTCCAATGTTTATCCAGGTCTGCAAAGAGGCTCTTGAAGGACAAATATTCTGACTTTTGCTCCACTATAGAGTATTTTAAAAAGGGAAGTTTATATATTATCATGCCAGGCGAAAGGTATATGATTATCTAACAGAAAAAACTGTTAGACACATGCTAGAAAAAGCTTACAGTACTCCATGATGCAATTCTACTTTACATGTAGCAATTTATCAGTTCTACGTATACATCTGCAGCTGAGAACAACAAAGAAAAAGACTAAATCTAGTACATTTCACTGTCGAATTATTTAAAAAAAAAAAAAAAAGCAAAGTCATCTATTAAATCTCTTTTTCTCTAAGAGAATTTGAAGAGAAACATTGTTCCACTGGTTATATCAGCACCGCTAAAGTTTACAATGGACTTCTTATGGAAGATTTTTTTTTTTCTGTACAGAATGAAACACAGTGACTGAGAAATGCTGAGATTTAAGTACAAGGCTTCGTCAGCAAAACTAGCACTATATATTTTATATGCAGTTAGGGAAGATAGACTTGTAACAAGTTATTTGTTATCAATATCCTGTACCCACCTAAAAAAGTGTATTCCCCTGTATTTCCATGCATTTTATATAGTCATGCATGTTTCACTGGCATATCTCATAACAGAGTAGTGCAGAAGTTGTTCTTCACTTTTGTTCTCTTTTTCTTTCCTAATACTTACTCCCTAAGCCTCTCGTGTT